AGAAATAACGCGAAATGTGAGTACTGAGATACTGGGAATAACACAAGTTATTTTATTCTTCTATAGTCATTATTTTAATTACATAAACCAAAAAGAAATATACTTTTAAACGTGAAACAATAATGTCCGACATTATTGTTGGTTTATTCAGGGTTCTGAATCAGATTTTCTAGTTGGAAAAGGAGCTTTTTGGGACTTTTGCACTGAACTGTGCAAATTGCAAATTTTCATCGATTGTGACCGTTTTTGGGACTAAGGACATGAAGTAACGAAGGCTTTCCTTATTTCTTTAAACTTAAACAAAATGCATTCTGTTCGTCGGATAAGTTTTGCATATTTCTTTGAAGTTTACACATAAAACAACAGCTTCGTACCGCCATACTTAACAGCTAAATGATCCATACTGCCTATAAATGGTGTGTGAAATAGAGACGATTATACCTTGTATGTTAATGAACGCATGTAATTATGATAAAGGAATAGTATGCTAATAACATTCATTGCGATAAGTTATCTTAATAATGCGGACGTAAGGATCATTTTCATATTTAAAAGGAAATGTTTTAGATTTTGGGAAATTGGTTTAAGCTCAGTTCGCATGTAAAATCGCTTTCAGAGTACTTCAGAAATAAGGCATATAACGTTCTACGTAAAAAAATATGTGGATGGTGTTTGATCCTGTTTTGCACAAACTACAGATCCAATTTGAATGTAGTTTATTACATCACCATCGTTATAAATACAGATAAAAGCGCGGAACTTTAATAAAATGTCATGTCTACACCATTATACCGATGCAAACAATCTCTGCGATCACCAGTGGCATATAAAAGAAGCCAATATTTTTTGTTATTTTTAAGGAAAATGATCAGAGTTTGTGTGATAATGAGTGAATTTGATGAAGAGGTAATCCATGTTTACTATACCGATGCAAACAATCTCTGCGATCACCAGTGGCATATAAAAGAAGCCAATATTTTTTGTTATTTTTAAGGAAAATGATCAGAGTTTGTGTGATAATGAGTGAATTTGATGAAGAGGTAATCCATGTATACTATACCGATGCAAACAATCTCTGCGATCACCAGTGGCATATAAAAGAAACCAATATTTTTTGTTATTTTTAAGGAAAATGATCAGAGTATGTGTGGTAATAAGTGAATTTGATCAAGAGAGCTTCATAACACGTCGATTATAGATGACAAAGCAGCACGGTATGCGTCAGTTAGTAAACATTCACACCGCAAGTTTTTGTTACTCCATTGTCAAACGTGGACCATTGTTTCTGTCTAAGTGGCTGCACTTACTTGTACATATTATTGTCATAATTATGTACCTACACTTTAATGTCCAATGAACTTTTATTCGTACTTTTATACAGACACCTTTCGGAGGGTAATTTATTGCCAATTTCTAAACGCGTCTTCGTATTTTGTGACCGCAAAAAATGGTTAATGGGGATACTAAAAAAATACTGATGGAGTAGATTTGACGGTCTTTTTGTCTACTAATTTGAGGTTGAAACAATAGACCTTTATGGTCCAAGGAAAACTGCAGAAAATCAGTCAAATCTCCCTAGAAGCCCATCCATTACCCAATACACTTTAAACCTAATCACTACACACATACACAGTATAAAACAAAGCGCTATCCGCCGTCTTGTCTGTCCCTATATATGCTTAGATCTTTAAAACTACACAACGGATTTTGATGCGGTTTCTTTTTATAGATAGAATGATTCTTAAGGAAGGTTTATACGTATAATACATGCATATTGCACTCGAGCGAAGCCGGGGCGGGTCGCTGGTAACCTATAAAGTTAAGCTATACAAGAAATGCTTAACAAAAACTTATCATTCCCATGCTGTTTTTGCGACGATGCGTACGCGCATTGTTTGCAACCATTGTTTATCCGTATCTGTTGCACAATGAACTCTATCTGTCGCCTCGACTTGGCGCATTGTTCGATTGATAAAAACGTTTTACGAAGAAAGGGAATGTTGAGCTGATATTCAATATGATAAGTGGCTTTGGTAGTATTCCACAGGTAATTAAGACTTACGAAATTGGCCTAGAATTGAAGACTTTATAAATTCTTTGTCGATTATCGAGGCAAGACTGTCTAATTTGACTGGGCTAGTTTAATTAACAAATACAGCAGACTAAGCAGGAGATAGTGCCCAAGTATGTGTTCAAGGATAGGTGTACTCTCTGTTTTTTCTTTGTTCATAATTTGGTACTTTTGAAACATCAACAAATACAAAATAAATAATAGTCTGTCAGTCAGTCAGTCTGTTAGTGAAGCTTGGTGAATCTAGACGCTCATTCCAAAATGTAGATTCGAATGGAGAAGAACGAGCAAGAAACTCCATAAGTTTAATGTGGACACTGCTTATGTATGCTATTTTATGGGAATGGATGCCCTTTTAAATCTATACTGGTGCATTGTTGTTAACATAAAACGGTTTTCAAAATAGTCACAAAGGATATTCTACCTCACATTGTTAGTAAAATCTATTTACATATAAAATAAGAGAATTATGTCATGTTAATTGAGGAAAACACATTAAAACTTAAAAGGGCATTACAATACAAACAGAAACAAGAATATCCTAGTAACCAGGAAAATAAATATCTATATAATGTTATTAGTACATAATAATATTATGTACAGAACCACACAAATAAGTAAACAGTGATAACTATACTAACAACTTGCCACAGTACTCAGATAAATAACAAAATATGTGACAATTAGAAAAATAGACTTTACTAAGATGTGATAAGGCAGGAATTTGTAGTACTCACTTTAGATTAGTTGCCTACTACATGGCTTTGTTCTTTACCTCTGTGGTATTAGTTAAAACTTAAAGATAATATAATACAAGGGCAGTCATTTAACGAAGTTACTATCTATTTTGTTAAAACATATTTATTTTGGACTAATAGGACTAGTCTAGTCATTTTATTTCATGTAAATAAATATGGACACATTATTTAAGCAATTAGTTATATTTTTAATAATAAAGACAAACCTAAAGAAGATTGCAAAAAAACTTCAAGCATTATTTATAATACATAATAATAATGAACATTAGCAGCTCATGCAAAATTTAATAAAAACTTTTGATAACTTAATTCTTTAGAAGAAAGTTAGGTGAATGACCAATGAAGCACCTATAACACAAACCGTAAGAAAATAGTCCACCAAACCGAAAACCACTCATAATATTGTACTTATAAATGAAATGTCAGACACATACATTCACAACACTGACTCATACACTTTCAACGGACTATCTCCGCTAACAGTTAAAAAACGAAACAATCTTTATTACACTGATTATCATATTACCAGCGCAGATACAGAGAATGTATCACAGTAATTATACACTAATTTGTGATCAATTAACATTCATAATTATAATGAAACTGTACAATTTAAATACTTATTACATTCTTAGATTTTCGTTTCTGGGGTGAAGGATAAATAAATATTGTGAATATCTTTGAGTGAAGCAGGAGGACGAAGGATGGAATAAAAAGGTTGCAGGAAGCATGCAGGTTGCTTCAAATTCACTACGTTCAGCATTGAATGTCTTGTTGCAGTTGTAGCCGATATGATGCGGATAAATTGAGATAAAATATGCATATTGAATAACTAGTCTTTGTAGAAACTACAAAATGTTAGAACTCAGAAATCTGTCAACAAGTTTAACTAATATCAATCATAAATCAACTGTAGTAAGATGTGTAGGGTACAACAGTTGTTTCATATTAATTACTGTGTTGACATCTAACCAATTAGTAAATAATTGGATAAAATTTATTGCCTATTTTCCTTCAAATAAAGTTGTAAATTAAAGCTTTAATGGAAACAAACATTCCTAGTGTTCAGGATACACCCATTGAGTCAGAACTTGATTAGATAATGAATTACATTACTATTCACAAAATACATGCACCAGCCATTGATAACGCAATCTATTACTGATTTCCAGCTAGGATTACCAAAATCACCTTAAAAATTTAGGATTTCTGGATAAAATTGTTTTGTGTGCAAGGAAACTGAAGCATTTTTTACTAAAATATCAATAAAGTTTTACGTAAAAAGGTATTTCGATATGGTTGCCAAATAAACTTAAATATTTGTGTGTAATTAACATTCCAGATGTAATTTAAATTCACATGACTTGATAGACTCAAGGACTAACGAAATAGATGCGAGGAAACATTGTTTAACTAACCCAGTTTATATTCAGTGATAATTTTAGGGGTCCTGTTGACCACATGAGACCACAAACACATAATGCATAAAGATAAAATTCAAAATGAAAATTACATTACATAAAAGACATTCACAAGGAGTTTTTAATGGGAATTCTCGTCTTAGACATCATAAGATGTATGAAGAATGAAATGAAATGTGTATAGTAAATTAATATAAGGCAGTAGAGTTAGGTACAGGTGGTATGTAGTAAGTTTTTGAATATGTAATCTTATCAGGAAGGAATTACTTCGGATAAAAATAAATAGATTAAGAGATTATCCTTGATCTCATCACACAAATTCCTCAGACTGACATATATAGAAGGATTTAACTGAACTTTAGTATTAAAGAAAATCTATTTGACTTTCCATTGAGTATTTTGGTATGGTAACTTGAGACCACATTATAGTAGATTGATAAATAATAATTAGATGATTTTTATGTTTTAAGCCTGAGTAATAGTTTATCTACTAGAGTCTCTCTACCAATATAAATAGTCTTAGGTTTATAAGTTCAAATTGATCAAGAAAAACTCTTAAAATAATACTTTCTCAGCATTAAATACACGAAATATGTCCAGAAGTAGTTATTTATAAATCAGCAACTCAGCAAGGCATGACTAAGCGTCTCAATATAATATTTTCAGTGTTATATTAGGAGTAATCTAGTAAATATTTTTTACAATTCACTCTGTGAGAAAACAGTCTAGTGTTCAATGAAATAAACTCACCTTATTGTGTGGCAGTACTATGAAGGCGCCTCCGCCGGCGGACTCGACGATTATAGCCAGAAACTTAGGATTCACCGCACAGAAAGTAGAGTCCCAAGAACTTTTTGACACTCTTATATTATCATAACATTGCTCACGTTTCAGGGCCTGCCCGTAAACGTGGCGGAATTTAGAACTGCGCACCACCCTAAACGACATCTGTAACGCGAAAAGTAACCAGTTAACAACAATACAAACAACAACTATCCGATTATTTCACTTCTAACATAACCTATACACCACTATGACCTATATTTTGACACTACAATTTCAAAAGAACTTAAACTCACGTTTAATTATATAGAAGAAAATATTATTATTTCACTAGAAAATGCAATGAAAACATTTGAATATAACACAATTGTTTAAAAGAAAATAAAACGGAGAGCTACTAAGGATCGAAGGGAGGACGGTTGGGAAAACGAGCAAACTCCATATTTGGTAATGCCTGCAGTCACTACTTTTAGTGATGATAATCTCGCTCTATATGTTCAAAATAATATTGTAATGGATGTGTGCGACGGTAGAAATAATTGATGATTCATTTAAGTGCTTTAAATAATTATTTTACATAGTTTAAAGCTAATTTTTAATTTACTTTTATTCTGACGATTCGTTATTTTTGAACGCGACTCTCAAACGTCAAATTGCTGTCAAAATAAGCTTCTTACGGATGCGATCGTAATTATAATTTTTGCTTCAATTACCTTAAAAACTTAGATCCTTTGCAAGGAATTGTGTTTATTTCATAAAATACTCACTTTGGGCACTTCGATGCGAGATTTTTCAGAATTTTTGGTTGCTTTTGGTGTCTGAGCATGGTAACTGTGACAGCGTTCTCTTCCAACTCGTTTAGCCACGGGGGCTCTTTTAATATTCGGACTTGTGAAACTGTTATGTCTTTTAACATTTTCCTGAAAAGAGAAATAAGAATCATTGCTTCACGAACAACTTAAATCTTGACAAATGAAACTGAATTATAAATAGATTTCGGTTTGATATTTGATTGATTCAAAACTTATTCACCCTGTCCTCTGCTTCCACTTCCATTGTAGTGAAAAATTATTACAATTTGTTTAAATATATTCAAGAAGATTCACTTATAAGCTTCTGATACTCAAGTTAAATGAATTAAACTAAAACAATGAAGGTAGTCGCTGAAAATGGAGTAAAAGTGTAAGTTTTTGAAATACCTACTATTTTGTTTTCTTTTTCTAAACTTAATCACAATTTATGTAAAGTTAATAATAATAAATGAATGTGATTTATAAAATAGTAAATTGAAAAAGTTTGTTAATAAGTTTTAGTGTGCGGACTGCACCTTTTCTCTTGACATTTAATTTGACACATGGTGACTGACGGAAAATGTCACTATTTTAATCTGTGGTAGTTCTAGTAAATAGAAAGAAGAATCGTGGAAATTGACGATTGCCGAAAAATTTTGAAAATTATTCGATTAAATTTATTTTCGGATAGTAAACCGTACAAATTAAAATGTTTTAATTCCATTTTACCTCGTAAAGTGATATTTTAAAGCATTTACCATGGATGCTGCAGTTTCAAAGGTAAGATCCGAGTGACTTTTTTAAATTTTGAATTGCTCTATTTTCTGCTATCTGAGCGCATTTAAATATTTGCGAAGTAAATAATAGATCAAAATTAAATTCAACAAACATTCCTAACGCTATTTGTGTGCAGTTCTACTATAAATAAACAAACTACGGTGCTTATTGAAATTTAGAATAATCTGATATTTATTTTTCTTCTATTTTCAAAATGTTGGAAGGTACTATAAAACTTTTCGCAATGCAGTTTATAGGAATATTGGAATTATATTGATGATGACCCTTTCATTGAAATAGTGGTATTTAAAACACTTAACCCTGCCACAAAAAATGGATTTTGGCAAATTCTTTATAATTTATGGGTCAATGTTTATTTTATTTACCATAAACATTTTTGTAGGCCAAGGTTGGGACCTCTTTAGTGGATGTACTAGTTTATTAGACCAAGGCATTTCATTAGACAGCCTTATAATGTTAGTGATGTCACTCAATATGGTGTTTTGTAATATTTACATCACCTCAAGTGGCTTATGTAAATGTCCTACATATTATGTATGTCTGTTTTTTAAATTTTGAATTTGTATGTTCATTGCTCAGGTTGAATATGATATTTGAGATGCTATGATGTCACTATTTATGAGAATTTTGGATATATTTGCAACATGAGAAAAATGTTTATTTATAAAAAAAAATCATGTGAATTTGTTCAGAAGCATAATATTTTTAATTTTAAGTTATTATCTTCCACTGTTTTAATTTGAATCTTAACTCTCTCATACCAATTTATTCTGACTAAAAAATGTTTGATACTTTTTTTAGATGTAATGAATTTTAATATGTTGATCAAGCAAAATTAAAATATTTCTTTACTATTACTAGTAGCCTATTTCTTGTTTTAAATAAAATCTGTTTTGATAATATGAATTAAGTTCAAATTGAGTGCAAAACAATTGGTTCCAATGTCAAGTGCAAGATAATAGATAACATATTAACCCAATTCATAATATTTGTTATTTTGAAAAACATGACAAGGCACATATTTTTATATCAATGTAGATAATTATTCTATTTAATAACATTGCACATCTTAATTTTGTTTCCAACTTCACATATACATCTCACTCAAACCTAGAATAACAAATTGTGGATCACATGAGTTGTTCTGTGTAGGAATGGCAACTGCAACATGTTGCATAGTTTTAATATTATCATCATCATCAACAGTCTATAAATGCCCACTACTAAGCAAAGCCTCATCACACATGGAGAAGGTTTGAGCATTAATCACCACACTTGCTTAATGCATGCAGTGGCAGTGTTAACATAAACAAATATAAATATTCATAATAGTATTAATGAATATTTATGTACAGATGTGAACACTATGACCAGGTGTACACATTGATGTCTTATTTCCTATTATGTAAATATTTAAATAAACAAATCTATTGTAATGTAATAAAGGTGAAGAGTTAATTAGAAATAAGAAACGGCTATTGATACCGGAATAACTATTTACAAAAACTTTTTGTAGCAATGAGATCATAGCGAAATAACAAGGAATCATTGCTATTAAAATGTATTTTAAGGGAATTCTTAGGATTTTTGAATAATATCATTTAGTCTAGCATTGTGTCTCGTACAAGGCAATTGGCTATTTGCTCACCAACTAGTATGGGGGACTTATAACATAACTAGAAAAAAATAAGAGTTACATTGTATATGAGCCCCTTAGTCTTAGAAGGATAACCTTCAGACGTTTGTGGATTAAAAGTAAATTGATAACATGTTATGAATAAGAGTTTCCGCAATAGGATCTAATTACAACATTATTGTTTGTATATCACCATCACTACATATATTATAAAACAAAGTCGCTATCTAGTATCTACCATCTGTCTGTCCCTATGTATGCCTAGATCTTTAAAATTATGCAACAGATTTTGATGCGTTTTTTTTAAATGGATAGAGTGATTCTTAAGGAAGATTTATATGTATAATACATGCATATTGCACCCGCGCGAAGATGGGCCAGGTCGCTAGTATATACATAAAATTGCAATCTTAATGTAGAGTTTAGTGTACATTACATAATATCAAAGGCTAGTATTGAAGCGTATAATTACAATTTACATTTTCGTTGATCATTTAGCATAGCGTTTTATGATTGAAAAATTTTTAGTGCCCACAGGTGATTTGTTCAATTTTGCCTTATCTCAGCTAATAATCATAATTGCTTCTATTTTTCTGTGTTTTCCTGTCATTAGAATTATAAATGGCTAATATAGGCAGATATTTTTTAATTTCTATTATTCTATTTTATTGTACAATAGTTTGAGTTGTTTACAATTCTTTGGATTTTTAATATCTTTTGAAATTTATGTTTAGTTTAACCTTTATTAAACAATAGGTTTCTGTGGGATAATCAAAATACAATTAAATTACAAAGTAGCTATGGTAAGTATTTTTTATATATATTTTTTAATGTTTATCTACCAAGCATGCCAACATGTTTTCGTCTTGATTTAAAAAAAATAACTATGTGTGTAGGCACAGCCATAATTAATTACATTACAGTAGGTACAAGTGTTACATAAAAATGAACCATATTTCTCAAATGTCAAGTTTCTAATTTCCTTTTTTCTTATCTAATCTTTACAACATAAATCTGAATTTCTATTAACAATAGAGAATTAGATATAACGAGAAATCCTTATCTTGCTGGCCATAAATTGTTATCAGTGTTATAAATATTTTATGGTGAAATGGGCCTTAGTTTCGTAAGTTATGGTTTACAATCAATTGACTTTATTTCTCTTTATGAAAACCACAGTCAGGATAAAAGGTTTGGCCACTACTTGTTCCATTTGCTGCCCTATTGGTACCTTTCCCCCTGTTTTTGGTAAGCTCGAAAGCCTTTCACGGTATGTTCATAGGCTTCGGTTCGGTAACTCTTTTCTTTCGGACAGTCGATCCGCAAACCAGTTGGAAGTCGCGAAGAACCAAAACAATAACAGTGCCAAACTAACCTCGGAGTGCAGGAGAAGCAACGGGGTGGTTTTAGTCAGTAAGTCTGACTCCTTCCGCCTCACCCAGGCGGGAGAAGTCATTCGATGATTTTCGCCCCTTAAAAAAACTATAAAAATGATTTAACCGAGAAAAGAGTTTGCTCCTTTTCAAAAGGTCGACAACGCTTAGTTGATGTGATGTGGTGATGCGGGTGCCTGAGAGGCGACGTAAATCGCTTACCATTAAACGACCTTTCAGCTCATTTATCTCCTTTTCCCATCTCATATGCTAAAAACACGTTTGACACACTTTGGAGCCGAACCTCTTAGCTTTATCTATATCCTATGACGCCTATGTCTTGAAAATCACGTACGGTCTTAAAACAGTTCTTCAACAAACACTTTTAGCATTCATTACAGGTAGATAGGCAAGCAAGCCTGAAAGTCTAATAAATTGTCTCTGTAAATGTCGGGTGATCCTCAGGGCCGTCTTACGACTACGCTGGGGCCCTTAGGCAGACAATAATTCGCAGCCCTTTTGGAATGTATTTTTGTTTCTTTTAACCAAGACCCGAAACAATTTGTGGAGCACACAAAGATTTTCTCGAATCCGCTACAAGTTGCCCGGTTGTCGGTTGTAACGCAACGTGTACCGGGTGTGTGTTCGTCGAAATTGTCGGTCCTTCGGGGCCCCCCTGAGGATGGGGGCCCTGGGCACGGGCCCAAAGTCAAAGTCAATCTCCAACTGGCCAAAGGCCTTACTGCCTTAGTACGAGTTTGTTTTACGTTTAAAGTAATCGTAAAGAGTACCTACGCGTTCGGCGCTCTGATTGGTTGGTTCATTGGCGCCGGCCAATCAGAGTGCCGAACGCGAACTCGTTTCGAATACTTTATACTAAAACAAACTTGTACTAAGGCCTCTGGTAAATGTGGACGGTTTGGAAAATCTATACAGTCCTACAATGACAATAAATAATTGTCACAAGCAATTGATGTTGATGAAATAATAACACAGATAATCTTCATAATGTAGGCATAGGCTCGGGCCATAATGTAATGCAGTTTTGATAATTCCATAGATTACCAAACGAGTAAAAATTACTGTTACTAAACACTTGACACGGATTTCATCATTGCGCCTCAATTAAGTTTACAATACAAGATAAGCCAGTATTAAACGCATGTATGTATGTATAACTTGTGTTTACCTTCGTTTCCACTTACCTAGTTAATTTCTTTGTATAACTAGGTCTTACATTTTGGTACAAATTGGACCCTTTTTCGGCCGTCATTGTATTGCGACGAGGATTAAAGAGTCGATCTACTTAAGTCCTTTTCTAAATGGCATTATTTTCTGACTGATTTGATTATATGACCAGAAAATTGTTTTTTTTTTAAACTGTAATAAATAGACAGGCAATTTTATGTCCTTAGATGTTCTTTTTCTATATTGGATGTTTGAAGTAAGATAAGTGTGGGAGAGCCATGCCTCGGCACGAATGTGCCTGCTCCACCGGAGTGATACCACAGTCTTACAGAACCGACGTGAAGCAACACTTGCGTTGTGTTTTGTCGTGTGAGTGAGGTTAACGAAAGCCCAATTACTCCCCCCCCCGCTCTCCCCAATCCCCGAATCCTCCACGATCCTCAAATTCCCAAAAGGCCGGTGACGCACTTGTAACGCCACTGGTATTTCAGGTGTCCAGGGGTGGCGCCGATTGCTTACCATCAAGTGATCCGTCTAGTCGTTTACCAGCTTATGCCATTAAAAAAAGAAAAGTACTTTAGTATGTGACATTACAGCAAGGAGTCTAATTACATAGCAAGCGATATATGGAGCATTACTATGTTTACTAAATAAAAACGAGGCAGTAATATTTCAGATGTTATATGCAGATTGCAACAAAAGTAATAAAATGTTCCAATGCAAGTCACTCTATCACAAAATGATAAGAGCGCCAAAAAAAAAATAAAACAACGAGAAGTTTGATAGTTTAAACAATGATATGCTTGAAAACAATCTTGTTCATCTTGTTTTCAAGTACGCAGTGTGTAAACACGTTATTTGATAAATAATATTGGTGTTATCAAGGCCACCTGGTACACGTGTACCGAACAAGTTGTTTTTCAATTGTAATGTAATATCGTTAGGTAATATAAATAATGAATGAGTATTGACAATTTAACTCGTCGAGTACCGGTTTTGTAGACACAATTATAGAACAATAGGTTGCGGTCACCGGTGACCGCTTGGTGTTTGACAGTGTTTGACCTGTTTGATCGTCCTAATTATTTTTTTTTACATCGCTGGCAGAAAGTTATTGAAGACAAATCCACCTGCACCTATCACCGGATTCACCGGTGTCTCTCAAGACGTTTTACAGATTAGATTAGCTTCTAGTCTGTTACTGCTTTTTAAATGCTTACGTCGTTCTGTACCTTGTAAAAAATGCCTAGGAACAATATATTCCTAGGTACTCTTCTCTCCCACAATGTTAACCTGATTAATTTCGCTGAGGGATTCAAGACAGTTATTCATGTCTCTGGGATGCATCGTACTTAGTTTTTCTTTTGACACCACTGGAAATTTTGGCTAATAGGACCTGGATAGAAGAACTAAAAATAACTTTCTGAAAAAAAAAGGAAATTGTTGGCGGTATTAACTATCTGTATCCACACCAACCAACCAACCGACCATTGCTTGAACTCTACTATCAAACACAGAAATTTTAATTTTCATGGGCATTTACGACGTCAATCGTCATAGTTAGCATAAGTACCCAGTTCTACTAAGACTTAATAACGGGTCAAGGATATATTTGGTAATATATCTACACTGATAAATATTCATCTACAAGTTATGAATATAAAGAAACATTAATGGAACCTATTTACGCAAACACAATGCACGCATACAATACGCCTTTAATCAAATAAAGACAGGCGAAGTAGACTTCTAGGTTCGTACAGAAATCTGCGATGCGATGCGAATTCGCAACGCAAAAAAATACCATGATTTTGTGCGACAAGGCGTCTCCCTTAACCTTTTGAGCGCCAATGTCACATATACGCGACAAGCGAAAACTGTCCCTGGACGTCAACGACACAAATACATGACAGAAAAAGCGGAACCAGAAACACGAATTATTGGAATCCCTATTGTTGATACAATAGGGATTCCAATAATTCCTATTTCTTTCGTAGAAATTTGCGTGGAATTTGTGGCTTGGTGTCGAAGGCAGGTTCATGTGTTTTTGCTCTGGCGTTCAAAAGGTTAAAAATCGCATCGCAGCAATTCGCATCGTAATTTTTTGCGTTGCGAATTCGCATCGCATCGCAGTTTTGTGTACGAGCACTCTATCTGAGTTTTTCTAATAATACTTATTCAGAATTTTATACTTAAATTATATTCAGTTATTGTAAACCGAGAATGATACTAAACATGCGTAATTTGTATATTGTTATAAATTATAATCCTGTAAGACTTTTTGTCTGTGTTTTAATCGAACTAACCATTCAATGCAAATGCTACAATGTTCTTGTAAGTTGTAACTCCTCTTGTGTTCCAAGCATCCATAGGCTAATTGCTTACCATCAGGAGATCCTTCTGCTCATTGGCACTCCATCCCATATAAAGTCTTGACCGTGTCTTTAGTCTTAGGACTTGAAAGTATATTAAGCTAGTAGTAGGTAGTCCCTGAAGAAATTCCCAACTAGAAACTGTTGACCCAATTTCAAGTTTAATTACAGTAAATAAATCTTCTAGAATTAACTGCTGCGAGAGCGGAATTGCTTTTTAGATCCCCCGTGGACGACTGGACGTGGTTGCAGAAAAACGACTGATGGAAATGGAAGTTTCTTTGATTATCTATAAATTGGGTTGCCGTATTTAACCTTCTCGTAAGACGCAAAGTCCCAAAAAATAAGTATGTTAGTGGGCGCAAAAAATCCGACATTCATTTCTAACCTTAGCAATGAATATGTATCACTATCCAATCCTACTCATTCTTCTTTCTGTTTTGTCTTCTTTCTTGCGTTCGCACAGCAAAACTGTAGAACGATCTGTCGTCGGCGGTATTCCCGAACCGATACAAACCTTCAAGAAAAGAGCGTATTCCTTTTTAAAAGGCCGGCAACGCACCTGTGCCTCCTCTGGTGTTGCGGGTGTCCATGGATGGCGCTGATCGCTTACCATCAGGTGATCCGTCTGCTCATTTGCTTTTTATTCCATAAAAAAACTCTCAGTACTTATTTGTGACCCATTGAACTTTTCGTTAAAATTTTTTTGGCGCCAACCTTAAAAGCAAACACCTAAAACTGAAATGTAATGGAATTTGCAATTAATCTCATGAACTAGAACAATAAATTTTCATTCCTCATTAATCAAACAAGTCCACATCCACACCGTTCTACAATAGCCTTCCAATTCCAACATCAATACAAGTTCATTGAAGAAATTAATACAAGTTCGTAGCGATCGCACTTTAATATCACCTAGTTGAGTTCGTTGTTGGGACCACAACTCATTTCAACGATAAATTTCTATGAGTCAGTCCGTCAGAGTCACACCATCGCATCGACCTGTCTGATGACGTCATGTCGCTTGTCATGCCCAAACGATGTAAATGTTAAGCGATGAACATTATTACCAGTTTTGTGACGTTTAGTATTAAGATGTTTATGCTAACTGGACTGTGGACAGTTAAACACTGTCGGTTTCGTTGCTTTTGTAAACTTGTCGTAGTCTCTTTAGAAGCAATGCGATTTTTTTTGCATGTAGATGGTATTGATTACCTGGGAATCGAATCTGTATTATGACTTGGGTATTTATATATCATGCATGTTGAACATAAATAGGTTAATATACGACACGAGTTAATTTTCCATTGGACTGTTTTTTTTCAATGTCTGTCGAAAGGACTGTCGTTTCGAATATATCCATTCTTGGAGCAATTTTTAATCTTTGAAGACTCTGATTCGGTTATTTGCATCCCTAACTTTATCTATTTACTTTTGCTTTTCTCTTTTTTATCTTTATTTATTAGAAAAAAAAGGCTTTAATCGCAAAGCGATGAATCTACTTATGCCTGACGGCGCATCTCATAATACTTCAGTCCCTTTAAAGACAAAGATCTTTGCTTCGATAAAATATTCTTAAGGGGATCCTTAAGAGGATACGAGTGACACTTGATTGATAACAACGATACTGACCTTAGCAGTAGGTACTCTAAAGATAAATTGCGTAGTTTATAACTGACTAGACATTCTCTATGCAAATTACTGTTGATATTACAGATCTTCTTTGCCTAAGTTGTGGGTAGATGTTAGGAAACAACTTGCTTTTTGAAAGAAGATATTTTAAGTATTGAGTATTGAGACTGGCGATATAAACAGTTACCTAGGAACCTCCTTCTGTTCATAGTCTCCTAGTCGTAACATGCGATGGTTTTCACTGTAGTAACTAATTGTTCTTCGCCTAATAGTGTACATGTACTTGTTGCAGACGAAACATCGCGCGGCGATGGGCATGCTGGCAATTTGCAACGCAGGCTCGCTGGTAGCCGCTACTAACCTAGTCATCTCATTACACCCTGAAGACAAGTAAGTACTTAGATTAGTTCTAATTCAGATAAGAGTTAGGATTTCTAGGAAAAGGTGGATTTCTGTTCCATTAAGGACATAGCACTCATCTGGAGGAACAAATAAATAAACAGCTTATGATCTGCAAAGATGTTCAAATATGGATGTGTTTAGGATGATAAAAGCATCAATCTTTTCGGTTGTTAAGAAAAGAGCCAAAAATATATTTGAATGCGTTCTATTTGATCGTTTTAAAATAAATAATTATGAAACGAACAATCCCTTGTCCATTTGCATTGGCGCTTCATCTTGCGCAGAGAACAAAGTGCAAACGTATCATGATACAGGTAATATTTAAGTAGGTTTGTATCTTACATATCTATTATTACGTAATGCAAAAAGAAACTGGTTTATAACATCTTAATACTAATTCTCTATATTTATGTTTTCTCTCATGGTGTTAATTAATTCTAACCGTAGTAAATAACTATTAACCTTGCACAGTCACGTTCAAGTACTTCGTTACGTAATGCCTCAGTTAATACCCCAATAATTCATGTTTATTTATGTTTACTGATTTGATCACGTAACCTTTTTTTTATTTCAGTTTATAAATCTAATGTAATTTCACTGCATATAAATATCCATTCAATGGTTTTGCGTGAAAATGTAATAAACAGTTAGTAATTTACATTCGTAATATTGAGTAGGAAAGTAGGATAGGAACTTAGGACGCATTTTTGAGAAGTGATGCTTATTATGATCATAACAACGTTTTTCTCTACCCCTGTATGTTAGTCTGACCGCATTGCAGAGAAATCTAGAGATCCTATGTTTGATCACTAGATTAGCTAACTAATGCTGTTCAATATTTGCTAAAAGTATTTCTCAACTGCTTTTACCAGACTAATATGTATGAATTATGTAACATGATCGTCTTAATTTCCCCAAATGGGAAGTTGAGGACTTAACGGGTTACCAGGGCTCCGGCTCGAAGTGCAGGAGTAGTAACGGGGTGGTTTTTAGTCAGTAAGAGTCTGACACTCCCTCCCGCCTCGCCAGGTGGTAAGGGTTCACAGTTACTGTTAACATAACTGATACATACATATCAGTTTCGGTAACAGGAACTTAAACAGAAATAGTGTAACAGCCCTAAATATAACACACACTTCTCTCGCGTAAAGGTGCTCCCACACAGCAGTTGTATAACGATATATCACATTGTGTAACATGATAACATTTTGTAACATTCTCTACAACATGTCAAGATACTACTACAAATTTGTTGTAATTTGTTTAAAAACAAATGTTAACTTAGTCTCTAACGTTATAAAACTGCAGTGTGGGAGCACCTTTACAGTGGTTCTACTACCATCTACCATCTAGGAACTTTATGACTTTGAGATTCGCAACATAGTTTAGCAAAATTATGGATATGACACGTCTTGTATTTTGTGGACCCTTCCAAGGAGTGTAGCGTGATTATATTAATGTAAATGGCCAGGAAGCTAACTGGCAGCGAGTGTTGAATGCGTAAACTGGATATAAGGGTCACACGGGTGACGTCATAGCTAACGGACTGACTGACAGTTCCGTGAGGGAACACCAAGGACGAATGTTGTAATGTAGGTAGTTGCTATATGTTTGTAAATAATTATATATTTGTATGTAGTAATGTAATTAAGTAATACTGGATTATGTAGATTCATGTTGTAGTTCTATGTCAAGTCCTTTGGGTCAAGGAGTCAAAGTCAAGTTAATTTTAACCATGTATCATTACAGGCAGTTTAAAACGTTAAGATGATGGATGACAGTTGTTGTTGCGCAGCCAACTGGTTGTAGGCGACCAAATCAACATTAGTGTTTGTTCTGGTTTCTCTGTGTAGACTCCATCATCACCACGCATCGTGTGACCATGCATAAAGTCCACATAGGGTCTTTGAGGGTTTACGACACCCCTGCATGAGGGTGCGGTTTCGAAACCTACCAACGGCAATACTAATGTGACGTTTTCCGATTTATTATGTACTTTCTAAGATTACTTAGACAACACTGACAAACGGTGAAGGAAAACATCAACTATAAGTTTAAAATCGTTAGTCCTCAAACCTTCACCGTGTGAGAAGAGTATTTGATCGGCGCAGCGGTGAGCATTTATAGGCTGTTAATGAAGGGTCTGTGGACACCATGGTATGGTCATATGACTAGTCTCGTAACCATGGCATCCCCATGCGTCAAGGCCCTTAATTTCACTTTAATGACAGACTGACATACATACGTATTAGGTATTTATTCGTTTTCCAATGAACCTCGTCATTTTACATACTTGAATGGGTTTTCAGTTCAATGCGTTTATCGTAATGTTTATGAAATGTCGTGTAGGTACTGTGCTTGTAGAACTGAGGGCAAGAGTAGGTACTGTGCTTGTAGAACTGAGGGTAAAATTATACCGTAGAACTGTGGTTTAAGGTGTAATATAGTACACTGTACATTTTTTGAACAAAAATGTAAGGGGATTTGATATGAAATAGCGTAACAGTTCAAGTGGAAGTAAAAAAAAAAGTCAACATTTGGAATTGATATAACTTAGGCACCTCTTCAAGTTTGAGGGACTAGTCACGAATAAACTGGATTAGTGAATAAGGGGGGAGGGTAAAAAGTTCAACCCAGGTGTATGGTATGCAAAGCCCCGGTGCTGCGGGCGACTTAGTGGGTTACGGTGATTTATTGTCAGTAAGAGGTTGACAATCCCTCTCACCTCACCTAAGGCGCGAATGAAGTGATTTAACTCGTCGAGTACCGGTTTTGTAGACACAATTATAGAACAATAGGTTGCGGTCACCGGTGACCGCTTGGTGTTTGACAGTTTAATGATCCCCCCTCTCTCTAAAAAATGTTTGCAATTTAAGTGTGTAAAATTGACTCGAGAAAGAAACTGCGCCGTTTGTACAATTTTCCTTCGATACGAGTTACGACTACGCTTCTTTAGTTAACGCTAGTATTTCCATTGTTAATAGTTACTCAGATAAACAACCTGTATCATGACGTCATCGCCATTAAAGTGCAAGGACAAGAGATAGCGAGAAATTCTCCAACAACATTGTAAAACAGAAAAATGTTGATAATATTGAAACTGTGAAACACTTCCTTTTACGACAACGTAATACTAGGATTGTTCTCATAGTTTTATGTTATAAATTCTATGCCACATGTAACTAGATCTATTTTCCGAAGTCACATATTACTTAGTCTTGGATTAGACTTCGATTTGGGTATCAAACCATAAGAAGTGAGTCCCCATCCGTCAGTAGGCAAACCCGTCTTGCCTTTAGTCTAGAAACTACAGAATGTCATCTATCATCACATATCATCCTTGTACACCACTTTAGCTTCCATCAAATGTGATTGAAGTATCAAATAGCGTCAAAAGTGCAGTTCTCAACCGGCGGATGCATGAATGGACGCATCCTGACCACTTGTACTCCTTGTCTGAACCCAGTATTTTTTGAACATATAAACTTAAATAGCAAGCAATTTACTCCCCAATAGTGTCTTACACTTGTGTCGTAGATATGAAACATGGGGCGAGTCCATTGCCATAAACCGGGCTCCATTCATATATGTAATGTATGTAAACCTATTCTCTCATTAATAAATCCCCCTTTAGTACAGGCTGCAATGTAGGTCGATTGTACGAAATAGCCTTGGCACAGAAATCTCCGTGGAGCGTTCATATTTGCACTGAAACACGTGCGATGTGTGATTAACGTCTCTCTGGACTTTGTTAACCTACTAGTTACTATTTAGGGCTTCATTTTGTGAGGTACGGTGATTCGTTGCTTTCAATGGGTGGAGGAAAAGAAAGATAATACTGTTTGTCTGGTTCGCTGATAGAGCGATTGCAAATGCACATATTGACAAAGGAGTTTTGTTTTTATTTCCGGGTCAGATATATTATTTATATGGGGTTTATTTATTGTTTTGGAATGACTTGGTGCCTGAAGTAAGTGTATCTCAATTTATTCCCTCAGAAGAACATGACGTGATGTTCATAATATTATGATCCGTAAAACATAAAACATCTTATAGATATTTTAAACGCGACGTCATACCTATTAGTACTTTAACGATGTCATAGCAATTTATAGAGATTACTCGTACTCATGGTACTTGTAGTCGTGTATGGTGCACTGCATAGCATAGCCAGTAAAGCGAGGTTTTGACGTGACGATTACTATAAGGATACCATGCGATGACGGTACCTCTATTCTTCCTGATTGTCGATCGTTACAACTGACATTTGATAGATCTCGGGCAACAGCCTGCACAGCCTTTTAAACTTTAAACTGCAATCTTCAACTAGTCTGCCAAGCGTGCAGGAGTCGCTATAGTCTTCTTATGTAGGAGACGGCTGTTGTCAAGCACCGAACTCCGAAAGCCCGAAGGTCCGACAGGTGGCGCTGTCTGTATAAACACCTAAAACTATAACTCTCTTCTTTAAAATTAAGTTTAAATTATTTATCACCCATTACGAGATATAGAAACGGATAAAAAGTGTGTGTTAATATATAAACTATATGTGTTAGTGATATTTGCAAAAACTAAGTGCGTTAGCGCATACAAATAAGTGTAATGTAAAATTGATAAACCTACTTAAGTCGTCATACATACCAATAGTAAATACAAAATCCTTACGAACATTTAAAATAATTTCAACAGTGGAACAAAGTACCTATCTAATTAAATGGAGATACGCTGAACTACTTAGATAGCAAAGAATTCTTGTTTTAATTATAGTGCAAGTGAAACAGTATTGTATATTTGTATATTAACTTGGGTGCAAATATTTTAATTCTGTGGACTGTCTACCTACATATTACTTTATGAATGGAGCCATTGCACTGAGAACCGCAATTTCGACTCATTATTAAACACACTTCGTGGCTCGTTGGTTTTCCGTACGGATCGCAGATCGTTAGATGGTCCCCGAGTTCGATTCCAGCTAGCGGGTTGTCTTTTTG